GCACATGGCTGCATACGTGAATTCACCATATCAACACTGTATCACAGAATGAGTTGGTAATAACACATTTTGAAATTCTCCATTACTCAATTTTTGGAAAAAGCATCAGAGTGTAAATATGTATGAAAGTTGTTAGTATAGTCTATTCAAACTCAAGATACCATGAACTGTTTCCCAATTTAAAGTGTGAGACTGGCTGTGCATTGAATGTTAATGAATTCAAGTATAGGAAATTAAGCAATTATGAAGTAAATAATGGTCAAATTATATTTCATTTAATTAACCTGACCACTGTTTTCTCTTTATGGTCTTTTGACATAGGATACCCTTCTCTCAAAGTCACCAATGCAGTGGGACAATAGCTCAAATGCTGGTTTTTCTGAAGGCAATCACACCTGGTTACCTACCAGTACGGATTACTACACTGTAAATGTTGCTGTAAGTATCAATGAAAATTTTATGCTGATTCCAGAAACAGGAAATGAGTTTCTATGCTAATAACATATACGAAAACCTTAACTGCTATTTATTTTTAAAACTTTTAAAAATTGATTTTGAGAGAGGAAGGAAGAGGAAAAAATCGATGTGAGAAATTGAAACATGGATTGGCTGCTTCTGTACACTCCCTACTTGGGATCAAGCCCACAATCTGGGCATGTACCCTGACCAGTAATTGAACCTACAACCTGTTGGTGCACAAGCAGATGCTCAACCAACTGGCTACACCAATCAGGGGCTGATACATTTCAAATCAATCACATAGACTTCTCTTACAGCTTTCAAGTCATGTTTTTGTGAAAATACAAACTGGTACAAAGTGTACCATTTGAACTATAACACAGAATATACAACTCTTCATTGGAAAGACCAAGAACTTTGAGATATTAAGGAAATTTTATGAAGGTTTATCAGCAAGCCTAGCTATCCTTCCCTCTTTCCTCCCCTCAAAAGGAAGGAAAAGAAGGAAGGAGTTGTAATGTGGGCTGGAGAGAAGCCCGTGTACCTGCAGAAACTGAAGACATGAACCACCACTGACAGACAGGAGCTGTTCTAGCACACCAGTTGGTTTTTGCCAACAATGGTGATCAAATTTGCCAAGTTCAGCAAACAAATTTCCTAAATACTGTATTAAATAAAATAAAAAACCCAGTTCCTGTGTCATGCTGGCAACATTTTAAGTGCTGAGTAGCTACCATACCGGACAGCACAGATATAGAAAAGATATAAAACATTGTATTTTTAAATGGCTATTACAATCTTAACGGTAACTATAGATATAACTGTATAATTTCAAAGAATGTTAGAAGGGAAAAAATGTCATAAAGATAACCAATTGATCCAATAAAAAGCCAAAAACGAAGAAAATAAAAAAGTCTATAAGTTAAAGAGAAAATTAGGCTACAGGATTATGTCTCAGCATATGGTAACCACAAATATCCTATATAATAAAACGCTAATATGCAAATCGACCAAACGGCGGAATGACTATCTGGTCGACCTTTTAGATCAGCCGTGGGCAAACTATGGCCCGCTGGCTGGATCCGGCCCGTTAGAAATGAATAAAACTAAAAAAAAAAAAAAAAAGACCGTACCCTTTTATGTAATGATGTTTACTTTGAATTTATATTAGTTCACACAAACACTCCATCCATGCTTTTGTTCCGGCCCTCCGGTCCAGTTTAAGAACCCATTGTGGCCCTCGAGTCAAAAAGTTTGCCCATCCCTGTTCTAGATGAAGCCAGGGCTGCAAGGGCCGGCTGGGGCTGGCCGAGTTTGTGAAGGCCGGTTGGGGCTGCAAGGGCTGAGCCCCTTGCACGAATTTCGTGCATCGGGCCTCTAGTAAAAGATAAAAACTCTTATATTAGAGCAATCTAAAGACAAAATTTGACATAAGACATGGCTAAACCAAAGGACACACAACTAAATACACTGGCCCTAGCCGGTTTGGCTTTTTGAATAAAGTGTCGACCTGTGGACTGAAGTATCATGGCTTTGATTCCGGTCAAGGGCATGTACCTCGGTTGCAAGCTTGATCCCCAGACTTGGTCAGGGGCGTGTGGGAGGGAACCAATCAATGTTTCTCTCTTTCTGTCTCTCCTCTCCCTTCCACTCTCTCTAAAAATTAATAGAGAAATATCCTCACGTGAGGTTTAACAACAAAAAAGAAAATACAGCCATCGAGGACAAATGCTAACAAAAAGAAAGCTTGCCTCCCGGCTATAGCTATCAAAAGAAAAAATGCATAATACCTTTTGACCAAATAATTTCATTTGTAGATATCTGTATCTAGGAATATTTGTACACAACAAAGAGTCAAGGATCCCTACTGAACCATTGTTTTTAATAGCAGAAGACTTTGGAAATGATTTAAATGTATCAATAGACAATCAGCTGGATCATTTATGGTTAATTCTGCACAATAGACTAATATGCAACTTTAAAAAAGAATGAGGGAGATTCTATGTTGTGTTGATATGAGACCACCTCTAACATGTACTGAGTAATAAAAAAAAGTACAGAATGGTAACATGCCACTATTTGTGTAAGAAGGAAAAAGTATGTCTATAATATGTTTGCATAGGCACAGAACGGCTTATTTCATGATACATAAAATGAAAGAATATGTAAATAGCAACAGTGTCTATCTCTGAGAGAGGGACTGGGAAGCTAGGGGATGGTGTTGAAGAAAACCTTTTTATTTTATATATTCATATACTCTTATAATTGAGTTTTATACTGTATACATGCATTTCCTATTTAAAAAAGTAAAGTTACCAAAAGCAGGTGTGAAATATTTAATAGCAGACAAAATAGAATTCAATATGAAAAGCATTGAGATAAAGGCAAATTTTAAAAAATGGATAAAAGAACATTCCACTACAAATCATGAATCTATGCATCTACAATAATGTCAAAATATATAAAACAAGTAAGTACTGTGAGAAATGCAGAGAAACTGACAAATCCACAATTACAGAGAGACACTTCAACATACTTCTAGTAAGTGGTCAATCAAGTAGACAAAAAGAATAGTTAACACTATTGGGCACTTCCTATGCAAGTGGCACTGAACTATGCTTTCTCATGCATTATCTAAGGCTATAGAAAATGTTAATAGTAATTTGACAGGTCATATACATATAGCATATACATGTACCATAAATACTGTTGTACCTGGTAAACAGAATAAATGTATTTTAAACATCCATTAGATATTCATTAAAGACTATACATTAGGCACCTGCCCAAACAACAATCACCAAAACCACCTCTGTCAACATGGCTGGCAGGGATATAATGAAATGAACATTATCACTGATTTGGCAACAGCTCTGATAAAGAAAGATTTGGCATTATGTATCAAGTGTCCATACTCTTTGACATAGTAATTCTCTTATATTTATATCCTAAATGACCCAAATCTGGGGGTGTGGGGGGGACACCATGAATATAGAAAAAATATTAGAAACTTGAATGCGGAAATGAAGGGGAATGATTAAGTATGGTATAACCATTCAATAGAATAGTTTTTTGCCTTTAAAATGACATTAATGGAATTATATAACAGAAGATGCTTGAAATGTTAAAGGAAAAATAAATACATTAAATTATGTATGTTTTATGGTTAAAAAAATACTGATTTTTATTTTAGGCAGCATTTTCTTTGCATCCTTCTTTGCAACTTTCTGTTCATTAGCTATGCATGAAATGCATGTCTGCAGAAATTATGGCAAATCTACCCATAATTCTATGAAATGGAACAGAGAATTCACCAGCAGTTCTGAGTCCATGGCCATCATGGCTGCTTTTCTGCCAGTTACAATAGAGAATGAAGGGACTTTTATTTAGGCAAATTAAGCATCCATTAACTTTGACATGGGCATTGTTTTGGGATTCCTAAAGTGGAGTCCAATCTGATCTCTACTTCAACTCTGGCCAAGATGGTGTATATACTGCAACAAGGTGAAACCCTGCATTTGCAATTTCTATCAGTAAATAAACTACTCATATCCACTTATTATTACTTACAATATGGTAATTATTTTAAGGGGCAAACTGAAGCAAGATTTTTGGGGAAATTTCTTATTTGATACTAAAGATATTTTTAAAAAATCAGAATCAAACATTTATCTTAATACTTTTTTTTTTAAAAAACAGGTCCAAAAGGCTCAGCCCAGATCAGCATTAACGTTATATCAAGAATTAAGTTTGCTGCATGCCAATGAGCTGCTCCTCAGCAGGGGCTGGTTTTGCTATTTGAGGACAGACAGCCACTTTGTCGTGTACACAAGAGAAATGAATGGCATAGACAGAGTCTTCCTCGTGGTTCTGAATTTTGGAGAATCATCACTGCTAAATCTAAAGGAAATTATTTCAAATATTCCCACAAAAGTGAAAATAAGGTTAAGTACCAATTCCACCAAGAAAGGAAGTGAAGTTGATACACAAGCCATTGCACTGGACAAGGGAGAAGGACTCATCTTTGAATACAACACAAAGACTTTCCTGCATCAGCAAGCAGATGTCAGAGACAGATGTTTTGTTTCCAGTCGGGCGTGCTACTCCAGTGTGTTAAACATCCTGCACAGCCTGTGTTAGACACCTCTGCAGAAGAGGTGAAGACACTGGCTTTGCGTTCTACTTTCAGCATTTGCGGTAACTTCGTGTACAGCAAACTGCTGGGTAAACTTTACAGACAGTCATTAATTCTTAGATATTTCTGCAGCTTGAATGTAACTGCTTTAGGAAAGGTTCTCAAATGTTTTTTAAAGAATAATGTTTAAAATAAAATGATCACATGCAGGAACTTTTAACTTCTTGACATAGCATCAATAGAGATCATCAGAACACCTCAGGACTCCAGATTATTAGAAAGATCTAATGTATTTTAATGTGAAGAATGTTCTCATTCCACAAAATACAGGCACAGAAACTAGAGCATGACTTACCACTAAAGTGTCTAAAAATGTTCACTAGCAAAGAGGCAGGACCTTGATTTGTAAACTGTTCAAAGAAAATTTTAGTAAAACAGACAAACACAAAGCTGTTTTGATGGGGAGAGGGCGGTGTTCTGCCGCCTCCAACCCTTCCTCACCCCCGCTCCATATCCTGAGGAGTGAGATTAGAAATCTATTTTCCTAGGTAAGGGGCATATACACCAAGGAGAGAACAGGGTAAGTGAGATATACACTAAACAAAATTAGGATAGAGAAGCAAATTTTAATAAACTATTCATTTACTTAAAAAAACTCACTTTTGCTAACCTAATTGCAAATAAAACTAGGAAATGTTTCCATGTGTTTCCAATTTCCACAGAATTTCAGAATTTTACATATTTCTTAAGAGTCTCGAAAACACCGGTGCTGTCAAGTCCGAGTTCCTCATACAGGAATTTAATCTGGGCTGTAATCTAAAAGAGACACATTAAAAGATTAGACGGAAGGCCGTGGTAGTAAAACTCCCGTGTTCAACTCTGTCTGTCCATCTTCACCGAAACCCGAAGCCAGCAACTTATGGCAGGGATACTTTTACTTGGGACAGAGGCAGAAGGCTGCCAGCGATTACGGTTCAATTACGTGAACAGAGCTCACAAGCACTAGAGAGAGCCTGCTCCCCTGATGGACTCAGTGTTCTTCCTCACCCTCCTGGTCTCAGTCACAGACCTGAATGTGGCCCACGCCGCCCCAACCACCGAAATGTGGAGCACAGCACTTCTCTGCCTGAGGACCTGTCAACTGAGAGGGCTGGACAACATACCTTTTTGTGAGAATCCTCAATCACATGATTGCCTCCAGGCTGAATGTCTAAAATAATATTGGGGGCCTGATAGCCTGAAAGAGTTAGCATATGAAACAATTAGAAAGTTTTTGGCCAACTGAAGCCCATTTCTGCCCCTCCCCCCTTTTCTAAGTAATCTATGAAAGTGATAGTGAAGGAAAAAGGCCTGACCATCCCATCCAACAGAGAGCTGGGAGGGGCCAGCAGGAGTAGGACCAGTGGCTGAGGAAGCTGATGGGAGAGGCTGCAGGGCCACAGGGGGAAGGCTGTGACGAGGAGGAAGCCACTGGCCCTGTGAAGCTGAGAGAGTCTTAGACCCAGAAACACCCACTGCAGCAGTGGTAAGAGGGAGACGGAGCTGGGCACAGGGCAACCGTCTGGAAACATGAATGAGGGTTCCTCCCACCCGGCTCTGAAGGTCTGGGATGTAATGGCAAGAAAAAAGGTAAGAGCACTTGTTTAATAAAATACAAAGATCTAGAAAAAATTAAAGCCGCTAGTTTGGGCACTGAGGCTCCAGAGCAGAAACTTCAGAACCTGTTTTAGGTTCCCAAGAGTAATGGCTCAGTTAATATTGTATTAAATGAATGAATGGCTGTATGATAGTCCATCTCCAATTTATATTTGATATTTAAATTTACTTTTTTGGTGTAACTTATTTTACCTTGCCTAACTTGTTTTGATATTGTCCTTGAACAAAAGGCGAGGTGGTTATAGTTGTAATGTGTGCTTCAATTAGTAGTCAACATAGGAAAAACAATAATTTGTCCCAAATCATAGGTTGGAGATTTGGTCTGTACATGAAATGCATTCCTCTGAGAGGTTTGCTAAAGGTATTAGTCTGCTTAGCTATGTTCCTGCTTTGCGGTGGTCCCCTACCTTCACCACTGTCCTTAGCGTGCTCCGTAACGGCTTCCTTGAGTTTCTCAGTGTAGTTTACAATTCCTTTCAGAGGTACCCGTTCATCGTTTTCATAAGCTGTGATGTGAACTGAAGGATAATGCTGCAAGAAAATGCACAAAGAATGTATATTGTTCCTTATGGTCCCTTTCTATCTTACAGATTATGAAAAATAATTACTTCTAATTTTCCCCCCTAAATGCTACATTTTTCCCCTTTACTTGGTACTCTTGAGAGATCTATAGCATTAGAGTACTAGACTACTCGTCATCTGGAATAGTATCTGCTTAACCAGAGAGACCACGACCCTATTGAAGCCAGCATGGAATATGAGCAGCGACGGTGCTGAAAGGTGTCGGGGTATTATAAGTAGAAACAACCTAAAGGTCTACTGAATTCCGGCCTGAGCTCAGATCAGGTAAGTATCCTGTTGATCATCTTCACTCTGTCACTGCGGATAGTAATATCATAACTGTCTTTCACTACCTGAGGTTTAATATTTTGATAGGGGCAGTAACGTTTTATGTAGTTCTTGTGTTTTTCATCAGATGAAGGATTCCCCCATTCTTCTAATTCTTCTAATGTCAGAGGAAGTGTAGTATCCATCATGGTGTTGAGAACATCCAAGAAAGGTGCCTAAAAAAAAAAGCCAAAGGGACTTAAACTTCGACTAACAAGTTGGTAAAATGAGTTACAGGGAAATATACATTATGAACATACATGTTGACATGAGAGAACAGAGCTCAGGAAGCCATGTATAACCCAGGAGCCACATGCATTCCTCAGTCCTTACCCAGCACCTTGGCTTTATAACTGGCTTTTAAGGTGTTCAGATTCCTTAAGTGACATTTATATAAAAACAAAGGGCTTATATTCTAACTAGAGGCCCAGTGCACAAATTCATGCAAGGGTGGGGTTCAGCCAGCCCTGCCCCCTGGTCAAACTCCAGGTTGAGGGGACAATTTGCATATTAGCCTTTTTTTAT